TAGGAAGTTGCATGAGGATTTAATTAAAAAAATGCCTGCAACTAGTGATGATGTGAGTGAATTTAAGGCCAGCAAAGGTTGGTTTGAGAGATTTAAGAAGCGTAGTGGCATACATAGTGTGATAAGGCATGGTGAGGCTGCCAGTTCGGACCACAAAGCAGCTGAAAAACATGTGCAGGAATTCAAGGAGTACATAGACAGTGAAGGACTGAAACCTGAACAAGTGTTTAATTGTGATGAAACAGGCCTGTTTTGAAAGAAAATGCCAAGCAGGACCTACATTACTGAGGAGGAAAAGGCACTCCCAGGACATAAGCCTATGAAAGACAGGCTTACTTTGTTGATGTGTTCCAATGCTACTGGTGATTGCAAAGTGAAGCCTTTATTAGTGTATCACTCTGAAACTCCCAGACCGTTCAGGCAAAAGAATGTCCTCAAGGAGAATTTGTGTGTGCTGTGGAGGGCAAACAGTAAGGCATGGGTCACTAGGAACTTTTTCTATGACTGGTTACACCATGCATTTCCCCCCAAAATGTGAAAGATTACCTAACTGAAAAGAAATTAGAACTTAAGTGCCTCCTGGTGTTAGACAATGCCCCTGGTCATCCTACAGACGTGGCAGAGCGACTTTATGGGACATGAAATTCATTAAGGTGAAGTTTTTGCCTCCTAATACCACTCCTCTCCTGCAGCCCATGGACCAGCAGGTTAAATTTGGGAAAATTCAAAAAACTGTACACCCAAAAACTCTGTTTGAAAGGTGCTTTGTAGTGACCTCAGAAACTCAACTGACTCTAAGAGTGTTTTGGAGAGAGCACTTTAATACCTCAATTGTGTAAACCTTATAGGTAAGGCTTGGAGGGAGTGACTAAGAAGACCTTGAACTCTGCTTGGAAGAAACTGTGGCCAGAATGTGTAGACAAAAGGATTTGAAGGTTTTGAGGCTAACCCTGAGAGGATTAAAGCCAGTTTTAGGAATCCATTGGTGGCATTGGGAAAGTCCTGGGGTTGAGGTTAGTGGGGATGATGTGGAAGAGTTGGTGGAGGAGGACAATGAAGAACTAACCACTGATGAGCTGATAGATCAACTTCAACAGCAAGAGGCCAGACCTGAGGAAACTGGTTCGAAGGAGGGGAGAGAGAAATTGAAGAAATTGCCTACTACAAAGATTAAGGAAATCTGTGCAAAGTGGCTTGAAGTGCAAACCTTCATGGATGAAAATCACCCTCACACAGCTATTGCAAGCCGTGCTGGTGATTATTACACTGACAATGTTGTAAAACACTTTAGGGAAGTCATAAAGGAACGAGAGGTACAGGCCACTATGGACAGATATGTTGTGCGAAAGAAGTCCAGTGACTCTGAAGCTGGTCCTAGTGGCATTAAAAGAAGAAGGGAAGTAACCCCAGAAAAGGACTCGACACCTCAAGTCTTAATGGAAGGGGATTCCCCTTCTAAACACTAACTCTCTCTCTCCCCTCCTCCCATCCCATCAATCATCACCAGATCTTCAATAAAAGTGTCATGTAATTGTGTATGCCTTTTTCAGTTTGTGTGTATTAAAATTAACATTTCATGTGGTAAATTTTTTTTTTTTCATACTTTTGGGTGTCTTGCACGGATTAATTTGATTTCCATTATTTCTTATGGGGAAAATTCATTCGCATACCGATCATTTCGCATAACAATCAGCCCTCTTGCACGGATTAAAGTCTCTATGCGGGGGTCCACTGTACTATCGTACCATTTTCTAGGGTGGTCAAAGTTGTACATTCCATCTGTTTTTCTAGATATTTCATGCCTGATACCAAGTGCATAATATTTGCACATGCTTGGTTTCTGTTTGCCTTGGATTTTTGTGACTGTATTCCCTGTTGGTGCATGTTTTCCTGTCTCATTTCTATCTTCATTAGTACTAACAATGGAGCTCTCACCAGTTGTTTCTGGTAATTTATCTTCATTATTACTAGTGGAGTCTCCTTGATTGCTGTCTCCTGTGGTATTGCTAGTTTGTACTGTTGGTTTTATCTTGTCCTTGACTACACGTTCCCCCACTACAGCTCCTGTCTCCCTCAAGGCCACTAATATGCATTCCTCTATGCATGCAGTTACTATCTACCAGGACAGCACCTACAGCCTTACAGTTCCTCACTACCTGACCATCACCTCCAGTCATACAGTTACTCACTACCTGGCCAACACCTCCAGTCATACAGTTACTCACTACCTGGCCAACACCTCCAGTCATACAGTTACTGTCGGCCAGGACAGCATCTGCACAAAGGGCGATAGCACCCTCCATCCCAGACTTTTTATTTTCCCATTTGTTATAGAATGCTTCCAGGTTTTCTATGAAGGCAGCTTTGATGTCATCCTCTTTTAATACCAACGTGATTTTAGTCCACAGATTGATCTCATTTGGGCATACCAAAAAACACTTCCCTAATTTAATACCTCTTGTAGACAATTCTTCGATATCTGCACATGGGGCGTGAGCCCAATTTCCACAAAACTTGCATGTAATCCATGTGGAAGCCAACTTGTTTGTTTGGCTGCAGACTACACAGGATTTCATAATGTGATTTTAATGGTTAATTTACTGTATTCTACTAATAACCTCTTCAATATTCTACTAGTAACATCCTTAAAATGAAGATCTGGCTATTTGTATTTGTATTTGTACTTGTATATTTAGACAAGCTTACCAGTGCCACAATAGATTCCACAACTGGCATAGGCTCCTCAGGGTTAGCCCCAAATCCTTCAAAATCCCTCTCTTGTACACATTCTGGCCACAATTTTCTCCAAGCAAGAGTTCAAAGTCCTGTAAGTCACTCCCTCAAAAGCCTTACCTATAAGGTTTATGCAACTGAGGATACTGAAGTGATCTTTCCAGAACTCTCTTAGGGTCAATTCAGTGTCTGAGGTCACTTCAAAGCACTTTTGAAACACTGCTTTGGCGTATAGTTTTTTGAAATTTGAAATGACATGCTGGTCCATGGGCTGGAGGAGAGGAGTGGTGTTAGGAGGCAAAAACTTGACTTTGATGAAACTAAACTCCTGCACCATTCGCTCTTCCAAGTCTGGAGGATGACCAGGAGCACTAATACCAGGAGGCACTTAAGTTCCAATCTATTTTCCAGGCCTTTCTTCAGACTGGGGTCAAACACACGTCATGGAACCAATCTAGGAAAATGTCCCTAGTTACTGTTTGCTCTCCACATCACACACAATTTAGTCTTGAAGACAATGTTTTTCTTGAACACTCTGGGAATTGCAGAGTGATGCACGAGTAAAGGGTTCACTTGGCAATCCCCACTAGCATTACTACAAAACATTAGAGTTAGCCTGTCTTTCATAGACTTGTGTCCTTGGAGTGCCTTTTCCTCCTGAGTAATGTAGATCCTGTTTGGCATTTTCTTTCAAAACAGGCCTGTTTTGTCACAACTGAATACTTGTTGGGGTTTTAATTGTTCAGCCTCTATGAAAGTCACATGAAAGCAAGACTCGGCAGGAGATGCAACATTCCCCCGATGAAAAGCAGGGGCGCCACGAGTACACTGAGACACAACACAATAAGTGTCCGGGGCCGAAGACTGTTCAATTGCCTCCCAGCATACATAAGGGGGATTACCAATAGACCCCTGGCTGTCTTCAAGAAGGCACTGGACAGGCACCTAAAGTCAGTACCTGACCAACCGGGCTGTGGTTCGTACGTCAGCTTGCATGCAGCCAGCAGTAACAGCCTGGTTGATCAGACCCTTATCCACCATGAGGCCTGGTCTCAGACCAGGCCGCGGGGGCATTGACCCCCGAAACCCTCTCCAGGTAAACTCTAGGTACTCCTTAAACTCCTGCACATATGTTTCAGCCACTTTTCTGTCAGAACTGGCAGACTCACCATGCCTTATCACACGGTGTATGCCACTACAATTCTTAAATTTCTCAAACCAGCCTTAGCTGGCCTTGAATTCATCAATATCAGCACCAGTTTCAGTCATTTTCTTAATGAGATCATTAAGCAACTGCCTTGCCTTTTCACATATAATTGACTGCAAAACACTGATAATTGTTTCTCGTTGATCCACACCAACAACAGTCTGTCCACATCTTCGAGTATTTGTGATCTCTGTTTTGTAAGCATATTTGCACCTTTCACAACAACAGCTTCTTCGATTGCCTTTTTCTTGGCCAAGATAGTAGCAATGATTGTATGGGGTTTGTTATACAACCTGGCCAAGATAGTAGCGATGATTGTAAGGGGTTTGTTATACAACCTGGCCAGCTCGGAGACACGCACTCCACTTTCGTATTTTGCGACGATCTCTTTCTTGAATTCAATAGTATTTCTCACCCTCTTTACCACAGGGCTGGCACTAGAAGCTTTCCTTGGGTCCATGGTGGCTTATTTAGCAGTTACAAGCACTAAAAACAATGGAGTAATACAAAATGTATTGCATGTATGCATGGAATCATCCTCACTGGCTTGAAAACAATGACACACTGGCTGTACATGGAGTGGCTGGGCTGCTCAGGCCGCATGGACATGTTCGGGACGAATGACTTTAACCGAGTCCTTTGTCGTTAACCAAGCCAATATTTTGACGCAAAAACTTTACTTAATCCGAATTTTACATAATCCGATGATGTTGTAATCCGGGGGTCCACTGTAGTGAATTTTACAAGACAAATATTTGTTTTCAATTCCGTAACTTTCATTACTTTTTCAATCCCAGGTCTCTCTCTCAACAGCTTCACTTTGATTTAATAGTCTGGTGTTTGTATTTTATTGCTTAGCCATATACTGTACCATATCCCATATACCAGCTACTACTGTACAGTACTTTACTTAGCAACACTACATATAGTACTTTGTCACAACTGTATTATGGTAATAGCTCTCCTAATAATGAGAGATTTTTAAGACCTTTCTAATTTGCATCAATATTTTATAAAGACAATACATTACAATATTTACAATTTGGTTTTAAGTGCTCACCTTACACCTGCCTTGGCCAGAGAGCGGTAGCGTGGATGGACAGCATTCTGCACTCCTGCTTCAATGCCCACACAGTTTGCTGCAATAATTCCATGTATTAAATAACGAGGTTCATAATCGAGAAACAAGCCCAGATAACTTTTACTGAAATGTAATGTTTTACCAGCTGGTTACAGTTATAGTTTATAATAACAAACTGATTACCTACAGTAGTAGAGTGAACCTCAAATTAACAAACTAGGACTGCAAAGGGTGTCCAGGTGTCCATTAATGCTTAACAGAAAATTCTGGATTTAACGAATTCTGTCCATTAAATCTGAAATCAGTTTACCCATTAGATTGTAACAATAACATAAAATTTTGGTGTAGTATCAACAGATTTTATCATTTCAGGACATCACCTAGCCACAGATTGTCCTCAGTCTGAAATACATTAAATCAGGGGTCCATAAACTTGAGATTCTACTGTATTTTCATGGTGATTTTTAAACAGAGGCTTAGACATGACCAAAACTGTTGAAAATGTATATTAACCAAGTTCATAAATACTTGTAGGTGGATAGATTACAAAATTTGTATAAGATATACTGAATCCTAAAAACTTCAAAAATTCAAGAGAAATATAGTACAGCATCACCATCAGACACTGTTAAATCTCCTATGTATTACTGGTATGGTATATACATTACCTTAATACTTTACTGCATTCTCAAGCTATGATATAGCTGGAAGCATGTCAGCTCATCAACAAGCTCTTGTGCAAGTTTGCTAATTGAGTAAAAATTGTTTGCTGGTCTTTTAAAATAACTTATATGTACTCTATGTTGCTCATAACTAACCCACAAATTGGAAATGAAAACTAAATGACAGTGATCCAAAATGCAAGTTCCTGATCCAGCAAGGGACCCTCCTTGGCTAGCTGCAAGAACTGTGTCAAAACTGTCAGTGGTGACAATAAGGCAGGAGGAGGTGCATTTCCTTCTTAAATCGTTTGACCAAGAAAAGGCTGTGGGCCCAGACAAGTTGACCTCAAGATTGCCGAGATGTGCAGACCAGCTAGCAGCACCTCTAACTTGCATCTTTCAGCACTGCCTAGTACAGTGTAAATGGCCTTCTCTATGGAGAGAGGCAAATGTAGTCCCTGTTCACAAAAATAACAGCAGAGCAGAAATCAACAACTACAGACCAGTGTCACTGCTGTCAATCACTGGCAAGATCCTTGAGACAATAATCTCAAAACAATTGACAGTTTTTTGACTACCATTCACTACTTTGTGACCATCAATATGGCTTCAGGAAAGGTTACTCTGCTGCTAACCTGTTGTCAAACCTCTCCACTAAGTGGCACCAGTCATTGGATGACTCCAGAGTCAGCTTTATGGGAGCACTGGACATTACTGGTGCTTTCGACTGCATGTGGCACCAGGGCCTCTTAGCAAAACTGCAAGCTCTGGGAATTGCAGGTTCTGTGCTATGTCTCCTCAGTGATTACCTTCAGGGTAGATCTCTAAGGGTAGTTCTCAATGGAATGGAATCAGCAAGGCATCCTAATGGGGCAAGTGTTCCACAAAGAAGTGTGCTGGGACCATTGTTATGGAATGTTTACTTCAATGACCTTCTTCATCTCATCCCAGAATCACATGCATATGCAGAAAACTGTACACTGACATTCACTTATCCAAGATAAGAAATGCCAGCTGCTCTAAGCTACATCAATCACCAGCTAAGAGCTATATCAGCTTGGGGAAATAGATGGCAAGTAACACTTGCACCTGAGAAAACACAAATGATGATGGTCTCTAGGCACCATGATGGTAATGCTGGAGCGAGCTAGCACCTTGGGAAAAAGTTGATATCCTTGGGGTGAAATTTGACTCCAAACTGACCATGAAGAACCACATTGTAAATCTTGCAAAACAAGGCATCCAGGAAGCTTACAGCACTTCGCCGTATCTCACATTTGCTTGACAGTGGGGGTCAAGATTCTGTATGAGGCACACACACAAATTGACACCTTGAGTATGCTCCACTTTCTTGGTTTGCCTGCCCCACCCTCTCTCATCAGCAATTGCTTGACAGAGTAGAGAACAGAGCAAGAAGTCTCATCTCTCACCTGGACCCATCCTGGATAGATCTGTCACTTCAGCAGAGCTTTCATGACAGGAGTGATGTGGGAGGCCTTACTGTTATGTAGAAAGCCAACACTGTCAAAGTACAACACCGGGCTCCGCTTCAAAGACAGTGTGAAGCAAGCTTCTATACCACAAGATGGGCAGAGAGCAGCAACTTCACCCTAGCTGTACCCTTCTCCAGAACATCACTTCATCTGAGATCATTTATCCCCAGGATAAATGACCTCAGTCTGGAACACATTCGTATAACATGACGTCAACGAGATAAAGTCAGTTGATCAAATGAAAATGATGGCCCACAGATGGCTCCATCATCATCCTGTCCAATACAGTGGACTCCCGGTTAACGATTTTAATCCGTGCAAGAGGGGTAATTGTTATGCGAAATAATCGCTATGTGAATGAATTTTCCCCATAAGAAATAATGGAAATCAAACTAATCCGTGCAAGACACCCAAAAGTATGAAAAAAAAAATTTTACCACATGAAATATACATTTTCCCACACACAAAGAGAAGGATACATGCACAATAGTAGAGTAGTACATGCACAGTATATATTGTGCATGTACTAGTCTACTAAATGAAGAATAAATGACACTTACCTTTATTGAAGATGCAGCAATGACTGATGAGACACTGTGTCCTGGGAGTGCCTTTTCCTCCTGAGTACTGTAGGTCCTGTTTGGCATTTTCTTCCAGAACAGGCCTTATCACACTGTGTATGCCACTACGATTCTTAAATCTCTCAAACCAACCTTTGCTGGCTTTAAATTCACCAATATGAGCACTAGTTCCAGGCATTTTTCCCTGTTCACCTGGGTGTTAGTCGACTTGTGTGGGTTGCATCCTGGGAGACAAGATTAAGGACCCCAATGGAAATAAGTTAGACAGTCTTCGATGACACTGACTTTTTTGGGTTATCCTGGTGGCAAATCCTCTGGGGTTAATTGTTTCTTGGTATTCTCAATAAGCCACACCAACAACGGTGCTACAGCAGCAGCAGCAGCTGACAGTGCAGCAGCAGCAGCAGCTGACAGTGCAGCAGCAGCAGCAGCTGACAGTGCAGCAGCAGCAGCAGCTGTACCACCAATAGTAGCGATGGTTGATTGGGGTTTATTATACAACCTGGCCAGCTCGGAGACATGCACTCCACTTTCATACTTATCAATGATCTTTTTCTTCATCTCTATTGTAATTCTCACCCTTATTGCTGTAGGGTTGGCACTAGAAGCTTTCTTGGGGCCCATGGTCACTTATTTTCCAGAAAAAGCACCGAAAACACTGTAATAATACGAAATATTCCGATTGTATGCTTGGATGTTACCGCGGAGGCTTGCTGGTAAACAATGCCACCGGCGGAACATGTGAGCGTGGCTCAGGCCGCACATTGGACGCGTCTCGGACGAAAATCGGTAAGCGGGTTTTTAAGCGGTATGTGAGGCAAAATTTTTGCAATTAAAGTAAGCGGTATGCGAAATAATCGCTATGTGATGCCATCATTATGCGGGGGTCCACTGTACTTGTATGTTTCATAACAATAACAATCCTGTAAAGTAAAAGGACACAAGTGCAACTAATGTGACATTTATTGAGGCAACGTTTTGTTCTCCAGGAGCTTTATCAAGCCATTACAAACAATACATGGACACAGAGGGTATAAACGCTCCGAGTGAGGTGCAATACTAGTGAGGTAACATTTCGATGTTCACTAGTGGTAGTAGTAGTAGTGGTGGTAGTGACAAAAGTAATACAATATGATAGAGCAATTAATTCGTACAAGAGTAAAAGGATATAAAAGCTATTACTTGGGTAACATAAAAATAGGTTAGACAAATATAGACTGGAAAGAGGCAGCTTGTTTCAGTGTTCACTCTCTGTAATGTGCTTTGTGTAGTATAACAGGAGAGACTATGTGATGGCAGGGTTTACTGTTTTCAGGAGGATTCTTGCTAAGACTTCGGAGATGGTGAAACTGCCGTTGTTTTGCTTAATTGTATTCGAAACAGCGATCAGTGCTGATTCAATGCACTTGCGTCTGCGGAAATTAGTTTCTTTGATCACTAATTGGGCGTCTCTGAATTTCATGAGATGATTGGTGGAATTTCGGTGTTGTACACAGGCATTGTTCAAGTTATCGTTCCTACATGCGTAAATGTGTTCATTGAGGCGGGTGTCGAGGTTTCTTGCTGTTTCACCTACGTAAATCTTGTCACAGCCTCCACAGGGTATAGTGTAAACTCCTGCATTGACTGGTTCGTGGTGCTTGGATTGTGTCCTGGTTAGATCTTGCCAAACATCTTTCCTGCCTTCTGGGGACCATCAGCCCCGCTCATCTTAAACACTCAGGCGACCTTCTCAACCGCATCCGTAACCTCTCCATCCATAACAAGAAACTAAGCAGTTTCGATGTGACTTCCCTCTTCACAAAAGTACCTACCAAAAAAGCCATCAAGGTTCTCCGACATAAAGTCAATCAGGACCTTAATCTTCCTCTACCTCCCGGAGATTTTGTTGACTTGATTGAACTCTGTGTTAATTTCAACTGTTTTTCTTTCAATAACAAGCTCTACAAACAAACCTACTGCATGGGAATGGGGTCCCCCATAAGTGCCATCCTAGCCAACTTATACATGGAACACCTAGAGTCCGAACACTTCGCCAACATCACCCCTTCAAGCGTCACTTGGTTACATTACTTGGACGATGTCCTCGTAATAACTCCAAAACGTTTTGATGTACGGGATCTTCAGGCAAGGCTCAAAGCAGTTGAACCGGCGATCCAGTTTACACTAGAAGAAGAGTCCAATGACAAGCTACCTTTCCTCGACGTCCTCATTCACAAAGTAGACAACAACCTAAGATTTCAAGTTTATCGGAAACCCGCCAATAAAAATGATCTCACACACTTCTATTCCAGTCAAGATACCAAGACCAAAAGAGGCATCATCATCGGGTTTTTCCTAAGAGCATACCGAATTTGCAGTCCTGAGTTTCTTGACGAGGAATGTACATATATTCACCAAACATTCACTGAGTTACATTTTCCTTCTTTTTTCATCAAAGACTGCAAGAAAAGAGCTCTTCAGATCATTAATTCTCCACACATCAACACCACTCCCAACAAAGTTATAATTCTTCCCAACAGCCAGGTTGCACTGAACGTCTCAAAAGTACTTTCACAAGCTAACACCAGAGTTGCCATCGCTTCTAGCACTTCAATAAAGGATCTAACCAGGACACAATCCAAGCACCACGAACCAGTCAATGCAGGAGTTTACACTATACCCTGTGGAGGCTGTGACAAGATTTACGTAGGTGAAACAGCAAGAAACCTCGACACCCGCCTCAATGAACACATTTACGCATGTAGGAACGATAACTTGAACAATGCCTGTGTACAACACCGAAATTCCACCAATCATCTCATGAAATTCAAAGACGCTCAATTAGTGATCAAAGAAACTAATTTCCACAGATGCAAGTGCCTCGAATCAGCACTGATCGCTGTTTCGAATACAATTAAACAAAACAACAGCAGCTTCACCATCTCCGAAGTCTTAGCAAGAATCCTCCTGAAAACAGTAAACCCTGCCATCACATAGTCTCTCCTGTTATACTACACAAAGCACATTACAGAGAGTGAACACTGAAACAAGCTGCCTCTTTCCAGTCTATATTTGTCCAACCTATTTTTATGTTACCCAAGTAATAGCTTTTATATCCTTTTACTCTTGTACGAATTAATTGCTCTATCATATTGTATTACTTTTGTCACTACCACTACTACCACTAGTGAACATCGAAATGTTACCTCACTAGTATTGCACCTCGCTCTGAGCCTTTATATACCCTCTGTGTCCATGTATTGTTTGTAATGGCTTGATAAAGCTCCTGGAGAGCGAAATGTTGCCACAATAAATGTCACATTAGTTGCACTTGTGTCCTTTTACTTTACATATTGTTGGTAATTCTACCAACTTTATTACAATAAAAATCCTTTCAAATGAGTAGATGTAGGTAACAGATCTTAGCTTGTCATTAAAGTTAGGAATCCTTAATTTGTCATTAAAGTTAGGGATCTTCAACCTAATCTTGTCAAACTGTATGTGTGTGTGTGTGTGTGTGTTTGTGTTTGGTGGTTAACCCTCGCTAGCTACCCACCTCCCTCTACTCATGCACTCATCAATCCTATCTCCACCTTATCTATGCTGTTACTACTCTAATGCTGGTAATAGCTTGCAGGATTGAGTGACCAGTATCTTACAGTGTGCAGAGACCAGAAATCTGATAACATGCAACCACAATAAGTGAGAGGAACTTGCGCTGGCAGTGGGGCGGTGGACAAGTTGCCGGTTGCTGATCTTGTTGTACATGTAGGCCTTCTAAGACTTTTGGAAATCCTTCACCCCATGATAGTTATATCCACTTATGCTCATACATCACGTGCTCCTCACGTGTTTTCACTTTTGGTAGAATACACTTCACATTTGGTAAGCTACACTTTTTATTTATAATGACACACAACCTGTTATGACGTCACCACTTCAAGAAGGCCTACTCCTGCCACCTTCCCTAGTTATATATTTTTTCTTTTCTTCCTTTTCTTATTAACTTTTTCACTCTCACTGTATGCTGCCCCACATTTCACTTGTTAACCAACCTCTCATAATTCTTGAACACCTACTTTCACACTCGCTTTGTTCTTTGTATATTTGTAACTGTGTGGCAACAGGTGCCTACTAGGCCCCTAACGAATTGGCACTTTGAAGTTTTGTTGTATAGTTTCAGGCTTCCTCTCGTCTTTTTTAACTAATAACTTTGTTTATCACTCGTAGAGTTGTTCACTGACTTTGTCACTACCACTGATTGCTGCTAGCAGCTAAGGCATGCCCTAAAAACACTAAGATTCTCAGAGCCTTGTGACCCACGACACTCTACTGCCGGAGTTTACCTGGAGAGGGTTCGGGGGTCAACGCCCCCGTGGCCCAGTCTGAGACCAGGCCTCACGGTGGATCAGGGTCTGATCAACCAGGTTGTTACTAATGGCCGCACGCAAGCTGACGTACGAACCACAGCCCGGTTGGTCAGGTACTGACGTCAGGTGCCTGTCCAGTGCCTTCTTAAAGACAGCCAGGGATCTATTGGTAATCCCCCTTATGTAGGCTGGGAGGCAGTTGAGCAGTCTTGGACCCCAGACACTCATTGTGTTGTCTCTCAATGTACTCGTTGCGCCCCCTACTTTTCATTGGGGGACTGTTGCGTCACCTGCCGAGTAGTTTGCTTTCAGAGGGAATGATTTTCGTGTGCAGGTTTGGTGTGTACTCGCCTATTTGTGATTTCAGGGGTCGAGTCTTAGCTCCTGGTCCTGCCTCTTCACTGGTTGTTACTGGGTCCTCTCCTGTGTGTGTGTATGTGTGTGTGTCTATATGTGTGTGTGAGAGTACTCGCCTAGTTGAGGTTGCAGGGGTCGAGTCCAGGCTCCCGGCCCCACCTCTTCACTGGTCGCTAATAGGTCACTCTCCCTGAACTATGAACTTTATCATACCTCTGCTTAAAGCTATGTATGGATCCTGCCTCTACTACATTGCTTCCCAAACTATTCCACTTTCTGACTACTCTGTGGCTGAAGAAATACTTCCTAACATCCCTGTGATTCATCTGTGTCTTCAACTTCCAACTGTGTCCCCTTGTTACTGTGTCCAATCTCTGGAACATCCTGTCTTTGTCCACCTTGTCAATTCCTCTCAGTATTTTGTATGTCGTTATCATGTCCCCCCATCTCTCCTGTCCTCCAGTGTCGTCAGGTTGATTTCCCTTAACCTCTCCTCGTAGGACATACCTCTTAGCTCTGGGACTAATCTTGTTGCAAACCTTTGCACTTTCTCTGGTTTCTTCACGTGCTTGGCTAGGTGTGGGTTCCAAACTGGTGCCGCATACTCCAATAATGGAAAAGGTTACACGGCAGCGGCAGCGGCAACAGGAACCTTGTCCTCTATTTTTACTTCTACCTGAGGTTCCCAGCAGCCCAGTGATGACCTAATCAAGACCCACATAACACTAACATGTGTGGATACCCAGAATGATATAAATCAACTGCAGAAATCACTCAAAAAGTTCACAAATTACCAACTAATAGGACTCGTACTACCACCTCCTACCCCGCTGCCACTGAAGTGATACTCCACAACATTCACCCATCACCCATCGCCTACTATTCACCCGAAGCCACAGCCAATGGACAAGGGTCAGAGCAATAAAAAGTTCCAGTAACCAGCTAAGGACTCCTAACATCAAAGGTGAGAGCAGTAATAACACGAGGAAAACTTGTGGTACTGCCAGCCAGGACACAACCCTCATCACCCACCAGCACCACCACAACACACGACAGACAACAACAAATATGGCTGCCATCACAGTCCAAGATAACTCCTTCCCAGTATTTGATGTCAAGAAGATCACCGACCTAGAAATACAGTGGACCCCCGGTTAACAAACTTTTTTCATTCCAGTAGTATGTTCAGGTGCCAGTACTGACCGAATTTTTTCCCATAAGGAATATTGTGAAGTAGATTAGTCAATTTCAGACCCCCAAACATACACGTACAAACGCACTTACATAAATACACTTACATAATTGGTCGCATTTGGAGGTGATCGTTATGCGGGGGTCCACTGTAGCTAAACTCTTTATGATTCAGAACCAAACGATCACCAAACTAACACAAGAAATGCAGGAACTAAAAGCTAGCAATGCAGATTACCTCAACAAGATCACTGCATTGAACATAAACTAGGACACTCTGGAACAACAAAGCAACACTCACACCCAGTCCCTTGACACCATCAACACTAAAAGACCAAGTCACCCTACTTACTACCAACATTACAGAAGAAAGATCAAGAGTGGACCAACAACTTGCCAATGTCACAACCAACTTCCAAGACCATAACGACCAACAGCAGCTATCTGACGCTGTTGTAGTTAACAGCAAACATCTCCCAGCCACAGTCACCCAAGAGACCTGCATGGAGACCACCCTACAGCTTATCAAGGACCACCTTCGTCTTAACATACGTAGTGATGACCTAAAGGATTGCAAACTGATGGGCTACCAAGCAGGTAAAAAAACAGTGCTGATAAAATTTCCCAAAAACTAGCCTACAAAGAAACAACCTACTAAAAACATCTATTTCTATGAAAACTGATGTTTACATAAAATGAGTCCCCTTACCAAAATAAGACAAAACCTTCTTTATGGCTAAGAAAATTACGCTATGCCCAAAAAAACCCACCAGTGCTTTGTGAGGGATGGAAAAATCGCAGTTGGGAAAAACAGCCCACTGGGAAGAGATACTTCATCTCTACAGAACATGACCTTAAAACATTCCTAAGTGAGGTGGACTAACAGAATCAGAGTAAAGTGCAGAAATACCCACAGTCCACAGTTAGTGTTATATCGTCAAA